TGTGCTCTTTTTTATTTGAACAAATAGTTCATAACATCTTTGAAACTCAAATAACAACCAGAATCCCTGATAGATCAGAAGACGTGTAACCTACCTAGCGGCTACGATGCGTGCATAGTTTATATATTGTTCAATCTTTGGCTATATTTTAAAGGTATGTCAGAACGTATAATCTAGTGTGAACATTTTATATTCCTACGGTTAAACAACCGGCTATATTAACCAACAAAAAACGGTTGTCCCAGAAGGAGCCGACGGGGTCTGTTCTTCTAAATAACTGTTCTTGTGCGATTTTTTTCCTGAGAAAGGGATTTTGAGCTGCATTGTTGACAAAGCAAATGTGGCGCCCTTCCTTCTTTAAAATAATTGTGTTCCTGCCAAACGTTTTTATGGTCAAATAGGTTTATATAACGTTTTTATGGTAAAAAACGGCCAATATATTTTTTTATTTAGGTTATTTTTATGGCAAAAATTCTTAGAACGTATGCCTTGTGTGAAGAGTTATTTTTTCCTGAATTTTTCGCTGGCAACCAGTTGTGACTTACAGCTGGCTTGGACATAAGAACAGATATATTTCTTCCAGGAAACCGTCGGCTCCTCCTGTTGTCCTATGGTGGTTTGGTGACACAAAGTCATTTTGTGTGTATAATGTTATAATATCGGTTTATAAATMTATGTTTTCACAATTACTTTTGTCGTTGTTCAACTCTCAGCTCAACCAGCTCTGGTGTGAAGTCATTCAGCTGATATTTAGCCTCTGGTGACAACATGAACCTCAGCTCCTTCACAAGACGAGCGATTGTGATTTTGATTTCCATCTGCGCCAAACGCATTCCAATACAGTTGCGAGGGCCAGCACCGAAAGCATTGAACACATTAGGATGWCGYTTCTCTTTTTCKGGTCCACGGAATCTTTCAGGGTCAAATTTGAATGGTTCTGTCCAGAAATCGGCATCAAAATGCATGAGAGAAAAAGATAATATCACAGGTGTGCCAACTGGAAAATGAACGCCATTAAGTGTGCACGATTCGCTGCAYTCACGCGTGAACTGCACATTYTGTTTAAACATTGTGCGCAWCACTTCGTTGTAGAAGCAGTCGAGGTACTCCATCTCTTGGACCAAATCATAGATCGGTTTATCAGGATTTGTTTGAAAAGCGCCGTCCACTTCGTCGTACAACTTTTCTTGCAATTCRKGAAATTGTGCAAGTTGGTAGAGAGTGAATCTTAATGCCATACTAGTAGTGTGAAGACCAGCCGCCAAAAAAGTTACCTGYAAAGCCAAAACATGTCATAAACATTGTATMGAAAAAACTTATCGTGTGGTTCTTTCGACAGCACTGATCGAAAGCACGTAATATTATATACGTATAGAWCAATAGTAGACGATAATCAACATATGCTGGACACTATTTAGTAGTTAAACATTCGGAACGGTACGAGGTGCAGCAAGTTGTTCACTCTTTGGTGATAGTACTTACCGACTGTGCAGATATCTCGCCGTCAGTCAGCATTCGGTTGCCTTCGTTATCCTTAGTTGTCAACATCAAGTGTAGCAAGTCTTTTCTCCCGACGTCAGTACCGTGTTTCTTTCTCTGATTGATTATTTGGTGTGCGATGTCATTCAGGTAGTTGGTAGGAAGTAACGCTGTAGAAATGTACATCAGTAGGCTAAATAATTGGGAATAGAATGGGAGAGATTGTATAATTATCTTTACAAAGAAGATATTTGTGAACATCTTGCTAACAGTGTCAACCAATTCCTTGTTGGGTTYKGTCTGAACATTCGTTTCCATTCCAAATGCACTGGACATCAAGGTTTCTAAGACATACTGTTGGCAGAATTCGTTGATGTTGACGGTCTTTCCTTCAAGAAAAAAAAACAAAGGAGTACTTTTCAAAAAACATGAAAGATTAAAAAGCTGTTAATTCGGTCCAGTCCACGTTTTCCACTCATTATTGTCCATGTCTGATTTTAAAATGCATGTGGCGTGATACCTTTCTTGTTGAAAATCGAGAGAAATATGAATGGTTCGGTGTCGAAATCTCTACAGTATCTTTACAATATTATACTAGCTGTCTTTTCATAAGCTAAAACCGAGCTAGATAGCCTAAAACATAAACATACACACATGCATGCATGGTTGCATATTATTTCTGCTGCACTCTCTGTACTTGTATTTATGCAAAATGTGGAGATGATCATACAATATCCCCGGACAATATCCAACCTGAGTCAGCTTCCTTACGAAATTTACTGATCAAGACATCACACGATTCCTGCACGATTGGCACCATTTGTTTAATCTTTGAACCACTGAATGTCGGAGTCAATGTAGATCGAATACGTTTCCAGTCGCTGTCAGTTGCCATTGCAACACCAAGATTGTTTGGTGGAGGCACTTTCAATTCTGAGCGGTTTCTAAATTTATGAAACTCCTTGACTGTAATCAACTTTAGTAAATCAGGATCAGCGACAACTATGGAGGTTTCTTGTCCGAAGCAAACATAGAACACCTTTCCGTATCGTTTTCGGTACTCAAAATAGAAATCAAATACACCGCCATATCTCCAAATATCTGGGATGTTACCGACAAAGGGCCAAGGTTTTGAGCCAGGGATGTTGAGGGACTTGATAGCTGCAAACTTGTAGGTACCCAGCCAGTACAAAGCGAGAAGAAATAGTATAATAAAGCCAATAATTTGAAGGAGGTCCATGATGTAAAGCTATGCCTTGCGTGTGTTTGTAAAATAGTACAATAACATGAATCATGCAAGAGGTAAAGTCTTGGTTGGTAAAAGTAGATTCGTGACGACAGGACTCTGGATGAGCCGGACTTTGTACGTTTATCTTTGCGGCTCGTGATATGCAAGCTGAAACTAAATGGATCAGTAAATCATCATTTATAATAGGAGTCATGATCATTCATTTGGGTCAAAGACGCTTTCCCAAAACAAATGAGCGTAAACAACTTTTTTCTTTAAATGTTCCTTTACTACTTCGAGGTGATTGATCAACAAAATATATGGTCAGATTTAATTGGATTTAACTTTGGAATCTTTGAGTCAAGTCTGACTATGATAGCTACCCTTTACATGCTTCAATCTGGAGTTCCATACTGTAACATTACCAAAATCACGGAGCTTTACGGTTCCGTCGGCTTCGTGAAAATGAGAACCTATATCGAAAGTGGCAAGCAAGTCACRGTGAAAGTCTTTTTTTGATATAGTTTTTTCAGTTTCATTGATCTTCCCTTCAAAAAAGACTTTTAATGAATCATAAAAGATTGAAGAAGAATTATAATTACACAGCCGATAGGAATAAACAAGTAGTGCAGTCCGTACTCCATACTTTTTATTCCATTCCAATTTTTACCAAAGATTTCAATGTTCAAGGCATTACAGGATATTGTCACGGAATACTAGGATTTGAAAACGTAACCCATGGCCTAAGGACTCTAGAGTCTACACTATAAATCACTACACAGCTGGATAAATTGAGACAAATTCAGAGATATTTCTCATTTATCTTCTAATTTTCAAATCCCAATTGTCTGTTGTCAGCTAAGAGAGCCATTTGTCATGTCAGTTGTTGCATTTACTTGTGTCGGCGTTCAACTCTCAGTTCAACCAGCCCTGGTGTGAAGTCTTCATTCAGCTGATATTTAGCCTCTGAGCCAGGGATGTTGAGGGACTCTTTGATGACTGCAAAGTGGTAAGTACCCAGCCAGTACAAAGCGAGAAGAAAAACGATAATGATAGCTATGATTTGGAAGGCGTCCATGATGTTGATCTTTCAAGCAGGGCATAGAGATCAAATACGTCATGTAATGCATCAGACTTACAAAGGCTAGCATTGAAGTCAGGACTTTGGAGTTCGTCATACTGTTACTTGTACGTACTACGGGATCAATGGGTATAGTCATAATTATTTATTATTATCAATAAATAAAAAAATACTGGTAACTAGATTTAGTCCACGTAAATGTGTTTCCATGTAGTGCTTTTCCAACCGACAGTGTTACATAATCGTGCGTCTCATTTAAATATCGGAAATATTTATTTTCAAATACTTGGAAATATTTACCCGTGGCAACAGGACTCTGGATTTTACTTTGCCATGCACAAATGTGCTCAATTATTATGTTCTGTCTTCAGTAAAGACGGTTTGAAACAAATACTGGTTATAAACAGCTTTATTTTCTTCAGTAGTAAATAGTAAATGCAATTTCAAACTAATTTACAATATCAAGCTACAAAGGCAACCACTGGACCAATTTGTAAATATTGTCTTTTTTCTACTCTTTCAAAAACTGAATTTAATTGTGGAAAGACGTGAAAACATATGTCGATCATTTTCATGATTTTTTCAAGCTGTACACCGGTTTTCATAGTTGTTGCATCCCACACTGTAAATTCAGTTGTCATTCAATATTCAAAATTAAATCCGGCCAGGTTCCTATTCAATAAAGACAATAGTTTTAATTTCTGTTTAATTCTTTGCTTTATAAATAATGCTTATGAAAATGGTGTACAAGAGTTCCTACAGTTAAAAACAATAAATAAATGTTCGTCAAAAATGCAAAATCTAGTCATTGTTGTCGGCGAGCAGGCGCTAAATTCTACAGCGAGCGTTGTCGTCAGACAATTAACATCGAAACAGATTTACAGAATTTACATTTCCCTGGCCAAAAAAAGCTGTGAACGTTAAAYCTGTGTAGAATTGTGATTTTGTGGCAAAAACGTCGCCTACTAGTTACAAACTTTCATTTGTTGAACTAATTTGACATGTCAATTCCAGGCATGTCATGTTCCTACAATTTGTCCTATATGCGTATTTCAGGAGGGCGTGAGCTTTTTAAATTCTAATTTCTCTATCAAGCATTTTTGCCTTCCTTATTATATAAAAATGTTTGTAAAAATATCTGATTGTCCTAACTATATATTTACAGGCATTGAAAATTTCATTGTTATCGGGTTATTGGCCTGCTTCCTGGAATTGCTGGTAATCACTGGGAAAGTCAGTGGAAAGGTTCAGTGGTTGGGTATTCCACAAGGCATGAAGCATGTGTTTTTTCACCTAATGGAATTATTAATTGAATATTTCACACATAACAATTTCCATGCAGACTATAAAATTCAAATGTAGACTTTAGCACTACTTCGATGAGCGCAAAAGTTKCTTTAGCTGTTTCAGGTTTTGAGTACAAACTGCAATTTTTCATTATCAAGCACTTAGACATAATTTATAGTTTTGTTGTCTCCACTTTCAAGTCTATTGTTGGTTTATGGTTGCTTCTCTCCTGGACTGGCCACGGAACCTGCGAACAAGCAAAGTAACATAAGCTCATGTCCCTGCGCAAGTACTCCGAAATATTTTTGAGTTAATCTAGAGAAATTTAAGAGAAAATACAACTAGTATTAGTGTTTGTCAGAAGTTTTGCCAAGCAGATCCCGAGAGCTTCACTTGACGACCGAAAAATAGGATGTATACGAAGTAATACTTTGACGTTACACAGTTTAACAGCAAATCAAAGTAGTACTATAGCTACTTCCCTTCTCTTACCACTARTAGTAACTATCTGTAGATTAACTGGTTCTTGTTAAGGTAAGGCACTTGCCTCTTCTGTTGTATTGTGATTTGAGTCCTGTACCATGATGTCATTCGGTGATGATGTCATTTCTCCAATGTGRTTGTTAGYTAATTGCTTCTTGTTATTCGTCATTGATGGAGARATCACTTGATTGTGGAATTCTACACGAACGGTTTCCTGTAATCGAGGACGAAAAATCTCAGTGAGGACATTAACATTTATTAAAATAGGTATAGAAATTAAAGACTCGCTACGTTTGCCTGATGCCTGTCGGTATTGAATCATTCTCGTCCCCAAGTCCTACACGCTCCTCAATGTCAATCAGGCATACCTTTTCCGAAATCTCCTCCAATCGCGCTAGACGATCGCGACTTTTTGCCCGTCCTCTTGCCTTCAAAATGTTTCTTATCTCGCTAAGCATGTCGGACACCTCYTCTTTGATGTTGTGCATAGCTAGTAACTGATTTTGGTCGTTGATCAGCTGAGGTTGATTTTCTTTTCTCCGCCTTGCCCAATAACGTCGAAGTAACTCTCGCACAGTGTTCTAAAAAAAATTAAAAATAACCATAAGAGAAAAAAGTAGGGAAAAATKCTTCCGGTGATGACGTCATATTTTGGCGGGCTTTGGTGGTGACRCGCGCGCGTCGATCAAACATGGCCGAAGTCGAMTTGCTATTTGGTAGGTATAACAGCATTTTACTGGTTTTCTCGTCAAGAAAYATAGTTTTCTTTTAATTTAACTTTTTTCTTGTTTTCTAACAGGACATTTTACATATTATTAAACATTTTGACTTGTTTAGGTGCCTTTTTATGCGCGGTTATTATTTGCATCGTTGACACGAAATGCGAGTCATCACTCGGAAGGTAAGCAGATAAATAAGCTTAACTATAGGTAGTTAATTCTTTGCTATTAGATTATAAACTATATATAMTTTTGAAACTAAGGTATCTTCTTTTATCACATTGAGGCCCTTTGCGAATAAGCATTTAGRGAAATTGTGTTCAAATTTGTCTCAAATTTGAACTCAGCTGGTTTAATTTGCACAAAGAAATTCATGTTTCTTCTCAAATCGACCGGAAACATCATGGAGCCCGAGTTGTGTTTCTTCTCCGGATCTGATATAATTTTATGAGCTGGAGGAAACATGAAATATTTGTTTACTATACAACATTGATCTTACATCGTGTAGCCCAACAAAACTAGTTTTTTAATCTGACATGTACTGTAATATTTTAATTTTAAAATCTACTAATCAGTTATAATAAGTGGTGTCCAAACGGCCTTTCTTCTGGACTTATAGGTAAGTGTTAGCATATTTAATATTTTACTTAAGATTGGCTATTTTAGTTTTATTGTTTAAACCAAAATGTATTAGTACAGCACAGGAAGCCCACCAACCTTATATTCTTGTTTCTTTTGGTCTGCATCCATTCTTGCTGCGTCGTAAACTTTGAATCGATGCTGTTTATAAGAAAAGACAATTCAAAAAATATGTATATATATAAATATTGCTCAAAGGGAAGGCAACTGTGATGTAGATTTCAATGTTACTTACCCCAGGAAAACATGGCTCAGTTTTAGGAATGCCAAAGAACTTGTAGGTAACTTTTGAAAACTGTTTGAGAACGAACTTAGGAGTTGGAAGGAGGTTTAGAGGAGGAGGCAATGTRGGAACGCTATCTCCAATATAATCTGCCCATAGCTGTGTCCTTGCAAACTTGTATTCAGTTTCAATGTTGTCCTAGAAAAATAGACTTTCAGTGAGTTAAGTTMTTGAGTGTCAAGAATATCTGCACTTATGTAGCATATACATATTGTATCTTTCCCTGGAATTGTTATCAAAATTTTGTAATTGTGCTTGTGTATCCATATGCAACTGATATGATGCTAGGAATGATACCAGACAATAGATCAGATGCTGTTCTTTCTTCTTACTCAATGTGTTTTACTCTTGGTATACTATATATCTCTTTCTATTAGTCAAATCATTGCTTTAATGAGTTTTTTTGGACTACAATATTCAATTTATAGCTGATGCTCCAAGTTGTATCCTGTCTGACATACGTTAATGATTAGCCACTGGCTAGAGAGGATGACTCGTTGATCATTATGCATCCATATCTAGGCCTAAAACCTGCATTTATCTATTTATTGTACTTTATACAAAGTGAATTGATATTATGTTGTTTAGGCTAGTATGTATTTAAACATTTGGTATCACTGACATGAGTTCAATTCCTAAAATAGGTGAACATATTGGAAAACGTAAAAGAACCCCAACCATTATTTGTAGTATGAGTGTCTAGGAGTGTGGATAGAGCACTTTGCATCAGTTTGTCATGATATCTGTATGAAGTAGATAAGACCTTATACTGTATTTTGCAGAATGCATGGCCACGATTAACACAATAACATTTTTAACTAGGCTCAGCTRCTTTGATTTAGGTCAACACAGGGAATTCAAATACTACACTTAWCTCAAACACAGAGACTCCTAATGAGAAGTGACAGAACATAGAAGAGATAGGGGATGTTACATTCATGCGCCGAGATACGGATTTTATCTTCGAGTGTTGAAAAGATCTCTCATGAGTGAGCGTAGGGAACGAGTGAGCGATTTTTCAAGCGACCATGTAATATTCTGTTTATCATATAAATTATGTAATGAAAACAAATTATGTCGTAAGATACCTCTTTTCTTACTTAAACTACAGTATATAGAGAAACCTCGAATGTGTTATTTTCACTAGTGAAAATATCAACTTTATGGAGAAATATAGGTATTTCATAGATAATTATATGATAAATATAGGTATTTCATAGATAATTACATGATAAAAATCATTATTCTACTCACCTCAACCTGTTGATATGAATTGCTCATCATTGCAATGAGCATGTTCAGTAATACAATCATAGAGGATGCATGGTAGAGTGTAAACAGTGCTGCCGTCCAGAACTGAATTAAACTTTGGCCTTTGAATACATTGAGGCTATTAAGATCCACCATGTCTAGGCTAGCCCACATCAGTGTAACCATTGTAGTTAGCAGACTTAGGGAAAAAAAGATTATTATACATGTAGCTATTTAGGATTCTTGATATATTTATAATTTAATGCATCTTTAATGATTTATAGGTGTACTATTTTCATTGTACTTTTTCCAACATCAAAAAAGTTAATGTTTATCAATTACTACACTAACTATGTTTTCTTATTTCAAATTATTTTTTCTATCATTCCTCAACTTTTCCAATTCAACTATTTTTCTCATTTTTACTTTATATATTCATTTTCCTATTTTGTAACCTGTGCACATCCGTTTCTCATTGTGACGGGTGAGAAACGGATGTACACATACTATTTTGTTTCATTTTCCCATTTAAGTTTTGGTAAGATGCTATATATAATTCATTTCAATTTTGAYACCTACTTGTGATATCCCTTATCCAAGACGCTTTCGAGTTTCATAGTCGAGTTGTAAGTCACTTTAGGCCTCTCCCCACCATATGCCTCAAAAGACACGCTATATAGCATTGTCATAGCAACAGAGAAAGACACAAGCATAACAATGCTGATGAACGCAAACTGAAAAATGACGCGAACCATGCGGCTTAAGCTGAGCTGAAGTAATCCAAGGTATCGACTGATCTGACACAAGTAGACGAGACGAAAAAAACTTGCAACGACACCGAACGAGTACAAACCGTCCGCGGCGCTKAGAACGATGTCATGGGRTAATGTTTCAGGCTCACTTAGGTTAAATGCAATCATTAGAGACCAGAGAATGTACGCGCCTAGAATGAAAAATACCATGGCCATATCCATCCAATTCCAGCCGCTACTTAAGTATCTTTTGAGACCATCGTTATGTACCTGGATACATTCTGACCAGGCAATACCAAGTATCCACAATAAGATAAAAGTTTCCAGGAGGGACGGTGTTTCTTGGAATCGTATTTTGAACTTATGATGCGATGATACTGCCAATAGACACAAGAACCCTATAAACGAGGCTGTATGATTGATGAATTTGACCAAAGGTCTCTTGATCTTACGGCTGAACGGAAGAAATGGAAAGAAAATATACATGAAGGCCATAACCGGGAATATTATTACTTGTGCGATGACGTAAAGGGCGCGGTACATAAAGCTGCTGGTCCTCCATTTACTGATGTCCCCAAATATGTGCTGCATAATGAGGTGTTGGCAGAACGGGTGTGCAACGAACTGTGGATACAAATCAGAAGATCCCAAACTGTTGAAAAGACTTGTACAAACTAGGGGATTATTATCATGAATCTATGATTATTAGAATAGAATAGTTTATTTCTCTCTTCACTGAAGTGTTGTTACAGTTTTTGCAATGTATTAGGTGTATGTAAATATGTGACATCTAAATTTAAGTTTCCCKAATTTGGTATAGATGAGACAGAGGACTAAATTAACTTATCAGTTTTCTAGTTAGTCCCTTTCCTTATTAAGGTTGAATTGATAACAACAGGTGAGAGATTAACTATACAGCAATATTGCATACATTTACAAACATTGATAATACATAACCAAGAGATGTGTAATCGTCACATTTTTTCTTCATCTTCATTACTTGTAAGTATTTAGTATTTCCTCGAATTCAGTTTTTCTAGTTAAGATAGCAAAAAAAAAAAAAAAAAAAAGAAAAGAAAAGAAAATTTGAAAAGAAAGAAAAAATGAAAACTCGGCAAAACTGGGATTCGAACCCCTGACAAAAAAGATCGGGACGATTTCCCTGGGACATTCCTCGAAGAAAAACGTTTTTATTCAGGATTTTTCAATATTTTGTCATTATGTGACTTAGTTTCATATCTTAGTAATATTATCCCTTGCATGGGACAGTTGCACACTTGATTTTCTTATTGCGATTTTTATTACGAACTAAGTCGGCATCCGTACCTTAGCAATAGTACCTTCAGAAATTATTAATTATAACTCACAAAAATAAATTATTATTGATAGACTTTGATTGATTACTAGTTACAGACGTTAAAATATGTTTTATTGCTATTCATTAGTTCGGAAGAGATTGACTTAGACCTTTATAAACAGTCAATTTCTTAATATTTCAGTAATAATGATGACAAACAAAGTGATTGTTCTTACATAACTTAATAATGCGTAACCAAATAAAGCAAAATCTAATTTTAGTTTTTAAATGTGTAAAAAGAGTATAGTTTTTGGATTTTCTCCCTAAAAGATGAAATTTAGCCTAAGCTTCGAGCTTATAAAGACAAGTAACGCACTTTTGATATTATTTTTCCATTATTCATTTGTAATTATGTTCCTTTTATTTTCATTCTATTGAAAATTTCCGCCATGAATTTTTTTAATTCAATCAATCTAATTTTATCTTTTAATCAAAGTCGGGTGGGAGGTATCACGGTATGCTTTGCCCCCACTTTGCGCAAGCCACTGTAAGAATATGTTTCCATTAAAAAAAAACAATAAAAAAATATAGATATTTGGCCGTGTTGTGGAAAAACTAACGTCATCGGAAAAGATTTCGGTTAAAATTGTAGATTATAKAGTGGGACACTAATTTGTGATAAAAATAAAGTATAAAAGCCAATGTTTTTTTTTTTCTTTTTTTTCTGAAAAGAAAACGAAGAAAAGAAAAATGACAGTGGAATGAGTTGAAATACATTCAGAGCACTATAAACACGTAAAACAGTCCATCACTCAGAGCACTAAACACGTGAAACAGTCTGTAAGAACAAATTCAGGTATATTCTCTTGACTCTATTTTGATAGTACACTTTGACTATCAGATTTTCTCTCAAAGATTAAAAGCGCCCACTCGTTCTCTTTCAGTTGGTTTATTACCACAACACAGTCGTTGATATCATGTGCTATCGTGCAGGTTACGACTTACATAATGCTACCTTTATCAGCGTCTCTATATGATATATCTTAGACTTAAGGCATGTCAAATATTGATTAAATACGTTTTTATTGACACATTAAAAATGAACCATAGGTTTTTGTATAGTGCCGAATTTCTACCCTCAACTCCTACTGAGCAATGTCATGCTGTATTCTACAATGAYTATCAATTACTTTCTCCTCATGACGCTTATATTTGCAATAACGATATCTCTGTTTTTTTAACTATGAATACCAAACAACCCTCTACTTTAAACCCAAAACCTTTCCAAAAAAACACTAGTTTTGGCCACCTCACTCTGTCCGCGTAAATACTGATGTGTTTTCGTAACATTTTTCATGATTTCTAATTCATGCCTTTTTTTCACCAATATTATATCATATGAAAAGCCATCATTATAGATGAGGCGTCTCTATATCTTTACATTGGCCATTWTGGCACAAGTTTTCAAATCTTCTTGCAGTGGAATATTTTTGAAAAGGTTTAYGAGTTACATCTCATACTTGTACTGCAAAATGTCACAATGCAGTTAGTACAAGGATTGCATATAAGTTTATTGCTGTCAAAGCGCTGGTCAAAGCGCTGTTAGACGCTGACACTTTCGTGTGAAAAGTTTCCTTAATAGCCCTTGCGAGAGACGGTTCAGGAAACCTTTTGCACCAAATAACGTGGCCATTTAAATTGAAGTTTCGCCGGTTCTCGCGGGCCCTGCGATCGAAGTTATATTAAAAAGCAACATTCAGYCGTCCTTCATTCTTGTCATGCATAATACATTTTWACTTTTCTTTTCACAAAGGCGGTTTCTATTAATCTCATYKCTATCTTCAGTTCTCGCTGTTCGAAGCCACGCTACTTCACGCTGAACAAATATCCATCGTAAGTTTATCTTTTCTTCTTAGAGTTTTATATTTACAATAGAATTGATATCACTGAGGGCTCATATCGTTTTGTTGTTCGCACATGGTTATGTCACAATTGGTTTCCATCATTTGTGGTACAGTAGTACTACCAATCACTAGAGAAACCGCTGTGAACTCAGGATGTAAAAACTTTGGGTAAAATATATCATAGCAGTTTTTATTACCGAGGTGCTGWGCGTGGGGACTTCCCGCGTTTAWTGAGTRTAAATTAATAAATTTCTTCAACGCATAAACGCAAAAGACAACAACAACCATTAAAAATCATAAAAACACGAGAAAATTTAGGATTATGTTCCCAAAATTGAACTATAAATACATATATGTTGCATAATGGATGGATTTCTTTTGTCAACACTGATTGTGGTTGTTCGGCTTTTTTTAATTTTAATCAAGACTGACATCACAAACCTTCGTAAAACCCTTTTTTATTGCAGTGAAGGGTAGTTCTATTTTTAAATTGCTATTGAGGGGACTTCCTTTTATAAATAATACTCTCCAGTACTGACGCATGATTGTCACTGTACCACATTAGTACCAGCTAGTAAGAAACAGTTAGAAGGCTCTTTAATTGTTGTCAATATTTTATGTTTTTGAAATCATTATTGTAATTTGAGATAAAGCGGACTCTCTGTACTATAAAGCTCTTAAAAACTGACGCATTTACTGAACATTAGTACAAGGTAGTGAGAAACAGTTAGAAGGCATGTCATCCGGTCGCTGTTCTAAATGCCACAGGACACATTTCCTGTGATACAATTATGAGTCAATCCACCTATCAAATGGAACTAAAAGAAGACGTTTAAATGATCGTCTCCTTTGTGGGAATAGTCTGTTCTTTGAAGATAAATTACAAGAAGAGATCATTTAACGCTTTAGACGTTTCGCACATTAGCACGTCCAATAACACGTTTTAAGTTTTAAAAGACTAATGATGAATCCATGACTGAATAGAGCCAAATTGACAATCGAATAAATTGGCTTTTAAAATGACCGGGCTTGTGTCCACAGTGAGAAAACAAACAGAAGAACGTCTMATTGAAATGGTAGTTTCTATTCAAATGGGAAATTAATCTTAAAATGCGAAAGAGGATGGAAAGAGGATAAATGTGAAAATGGATGGATGAATGAACTAATCAATGAATAAATGAATGGATGAAACAAWGACTATTTTTGAAAACGAGTTAGATATACCGAATGATCGAACGAAAACCTGTTTCTAATTAGAAAGTTTTTCATTAATAAAKAAAAATCTATAATTCATCATATCTGACTCCGGCTCCCATGAATGATGTAATGAATTTTTGAAAACCTATTTTCCAATATTGTCGGCAACCAATCAAATGCTTGCAAATTTGCAACTATGGCTACGTTGTCAACAGTGCTAGATAGGTTTTTGTTAAACTAAAACTAATCATATAGAAAGCCAAAACGTTTATTCAGATCAAGTGTATGTCCTTTTGTCATAGTGCCCAACACAATGGCTATGTTTTATCTGTTTTACAAAGCAAACATATTTGTATTTGACTTTTAGCGGAACAACCACAGTTGACATAGTTTGTTCGGAAAAGGAATATACACATGCGTTGCTTAGACGCTAAGTAAAGACGTCCAAAACTTGACAAACAAATCTTCTATTGTTATATGCAAAACCATTGGCGGTATCTCAAGCTTCAACCTCAATCGTTCCGACTCAGTTGTATTATGGGTACATTTTTCCCAGCTGTCAATCACGCAAAAGGAGGCGGAGCTTAGCTGATTGAAACACTCGTAATAACTAGCTGTTCCTATGATTGAAATCAAAAAAAAAAAAAAAATGATTGAAATCTCAAACAAAGAAGAAGAAAAGAAATTGATCTGAAAAATTTTGAATGCAATTAACTAAGTACTTGTACATCAATATTCGTTTYCCTGCATCAAAGCAATAACCACTGTTTTATTTGAAAAGAAAAAAAAAAGTCGAAAAAAGCAGTCGTAAAATATTTAGGAAACCTAAAAAATAAAAATGCCATGAATTGTGAATATGATTACAAAACTGAAAATCGACGATGTATTATCTGCATTGTTATCTCACGAATTGGCTTCCAGGATGTCTACAAGTGTAGATATCACGAAATATAATCGAGAGACAGTAGAAAGCTGTGTGGCGCACGCGCAACATCTGAGAGTGATGTGAAGTTTTCCCGCGTTGAAGAATTATCAGTTGATAATTGATAGTCTTCATGTTTTCGTTAGTTTCAGTTTTTGAGTCCAACATAGGTAATGCCTAGAGATATAGGCGCTTTCATKTTAACCTTAGGTGYAAAAATGCAGCCATTTATAAAAACTGTTTCCAATTACGTTCTCAACTTTAATTGAAATACTAAGAGTTGCATGACGTGGGCCTGTTGTGTAATACCAATATTCAAAGCCAGACACTTATGTATACACAAGGCATACTAAAATAAAACTTAATGCTATCTTAACTACACTTACATATATTAACAATATTGCATTTGGTTTAATGGTTAAACTTCCTTATACTATTGAAATTTGTAACGTTCATTATAATAGATAAGCAGTGAATCAAGAATTTTTTCCTTTCATAACATGCATATTGTCAAGTGGTTTTACTGATAACGTTATATCACGCACGTTGTGCCCATTTTTCACCACTGATAAAAAAATAACCTTTCAMCAACAACAAAACAAGAATTAAAGTATATTTAAGGCAAAAAGGCAGTCTACAAGGTGTTTAGAATTTTACCAATGACGTACAATGAAGCAATATRTAAAAGTTAGAATAATTAAACAGGAAGCAAAGTCTAAAAAGATAGCTAAATAGACAGTCGAATGCTTAGGATTTTAGGTAATAGGACGTAAGGTGTAAAGCAATACACTTTTCTCGAATAAAAAGGGTTTTTCACACGTGGTGTTAGTTACATAACGTTAACTTTTTTCTAGAATATTTGTTCATTGAAAGCTCAATATGGAAACACCTGGCTATAGTTAATCAAGCTTCTTTCTTATCTAATAGGGTTGTTGTTTTTTATCTTATTTTGTAATGTTGGGGGATAAAATCAAGAAAGTCTTACGTAAAATTTAAATTCTTGCATTGAAGTGTTTGTCTAACTCATTTATGACTTAGATATCTCTATCRTATGTAAAGACCTATAGAGCATAGACTATAATGAAAACTTATATTCACATCACAAAATAAATGCATAAGCTGGTAAAATTGTCATTTCATTAAGAATATTTATGTAGTATCCATAGTATAACCTATATAATACCCATCCATCTATAAGCGATTAATATATGTATTATTTCATTTATTATTTACCTAAATATATGGTATTTATGTTACTGAGAAATACCTCTTTCTTGTTTCACTTGTGAAKATGATAACAAAATAAATAAGGTATAACAAAAAGAAAGCAGATTGTCTGAGTTTAATGTCCTCCTGTTATTTCGATCCATGAATGTTTGATGCTGATAGGAATGACATTGATGACGAGAGGAACTCGTAGACTTAGGCCAGTTTAAGGGAGTTATAAACCGAGTTTTTCCATTTGCGGTATTTTGATCCCCAAAGGATCATTCATTCATTGTATAAGAAACAATAATAGATTAAATCGTGATTATACATAATTCAAAATGCAAAGCAGTATATAGTGTAAGCGCTTTTCGTAAGGAAAACTGTATGTGGTATGATATCATTTCTTTTTGTGTTGTGTTTATGATATTTTTGGTTTTTTGATATGCTTTAAACGCCATCACTTAATGAGCACAAAAAATCGTTGATTAAAGTTTTTCTTTGATATATTTGTCATCCAAAAAGCAATTTCTATCTATTAACGTTTTTACCGTTTAATCAGCTGTGTTAGTACTACATTATTTACTAATGTCAATAATTTATATTTCTTTTYATATTTTCTTTATAATTTTTCATTTTTTTCGTTTTCTGTCTTGTAAAGGTGTTTACAACTGTTGCTATGGCAAACAATACTTCTGCAATTGAAGCCTCGGAACGAACTCCCGCTTTGCTATTTGACAAACCCAAATTAGTTCGCAAACACTTACCAAGGTATAAACCATTTTCAAGACCATTTGTTTACTTAGCGATGATCTTGAAAAACGAATTTACACATACAAAAGTTTTCGTCAAATTTGTAATTCAAATAGTGCGGGATTGAAATACTGTTTAGCTTTCATGTGTTGGTAGTGTTTACTCATTTCCGTAAATTATTTGTAATTTTGATATGTTTAGACATAATGTGGACATGGTTTCATTTAGTTGTCATGTGTTGAGATTAAAACAAAATTGAACGAAAAAGGAAGTCCAAACTGGAAAGGAACGTATAAGTAAAGAATRAAATACTAAATGTAAAGTGAGAAAGAACAACTGATCATGGGCGTCCTAATGAGTGAGTGGAAGAATGAATAAAGAAATGGATGGATGATGATTGAGCAAATATATAAATCGATAATCCCGTGATTGAGTAGATCGATGAATACTAAATCAATGGATAAAATATGTGCATAAGTATTTTACTAAAAGAAAGAAATGAATTGACGAACAAATAAACGGATGAATGACACTGCGATCCACAATCAGTAATCCGCCAGAACTGATGATAAATTGTGGAGGAAGCAGATTTGCTCATACTTCTCTAATTATCCGTTTAAAAGATACGCCGATACATTGACTGGCACCGACTCTAATATTCMAATATATTATATTATATTTCTAATCAACCGGAATAGTTTTTATTCTACCGATGATGAGGCTGAAGCGTTTAAGTAGTATTTATAGATTTCGAGTCAATTTCGCGTCTATTCGTGTTTACATCTTGTTTTTGATCTATCCATTTTTATGTTAATCTAAATTTTTCCGCAGTTGAAATTACTTTTCTCCTCCCCCTAGGAAGCAAAACTAATAAATATATTTTTAGCACTCCTTTCATGGTACATGTCATTATGCCTATCTGAATGTCAAACAATTATATCTTATATGCAGAATCGGTGCCCTTTCTATTTTAACTATTACTTTCATGACCAACCTCACACATAGCGCCTCGACAAAAAAGACCAGCTCAACTAAAACCTAGTGTTGACATATTGTTACATAAACCAAGATAACAGATGATTTTTTGTTATGTTTGCCATTTTGAAGTTGATCGAGAGGTTATTTGCAGAGCGAACTGAAAAATCGACTCGGTTTTCTTTTCTTTTCTTATTGTCATCATTTGGATAATTTCTATTCTTGAACAATAGCACAGAAAAACTATGCAAATTGAAGAGCGAAATTATTGCTTGAAATATAGCGTTTCTTCATAATTAGGACAATTATGGAAACTTGATATTGGATTCGAAGAATCATTGGATTTTTATTTTGCGTTTKGTGATTTTGAGTCTTGAAGCATTACAATCGGGTTTKTAAARCAGAAATCAAGAAGACAATGATGTATTTAAAATCACAATATTTCCTTTTGCTATTTTAAATAGTTGTGTTGCAAACAAAGCACCTTCACACGATTGCAATAGCATACTCTTATGATGTAGATCCTTACTTCTTCCGATCATTTGTTCTTTTTTCGAACTATTTGACCGCCGATCACTTATGCTCTGATCAAGTATTCTTTATTGTATGTTTGYTCTATATTTTTTTTCAAAACATATATTGTGCTGTGATCTAAGTATATAATCGAACAAATTAAAACTTTCATTATTATATCGTTTTTTGAAGTAATAAACTTACCTCTTTTTGATTGTATGAAATCGCACAATTCACTAAACCAAGATTTCCCTCGGCAAACTCTTCGTCCGAAGCGTCGATTCCAGGATAATTTAATATGCTATTCTGTTCTCTAGATGTTCGGCATTCGTCCAACAAACCTAGCGAAAACTGACAACATTGCTGTGACAATGCTAGGTAGTCTTTTTCATACTCATCCTCGCGAAAAGCAAGAGTTTGTAGCTCATTGATTAACTTAAAAGTCGTAATRAACGGATCACTGGACGTTATCGAAATATAAACAGGGTTTGCTAGTGCACGATAAATATCGAGGCGCTTTTGAGAAACGCGGAATAAGTCTTCCTGACAAATCTCGCATTTACAGAGAACATCGTGTGGTTTTTCAAGCTCGAATCCCTTAGACAGAAAAACATTGATAGCTTCATAGCTACCAAGATGCGCAGCCACAACCAGGGGAAGAAAGTTCTGCGGCCTCTGCGTCTCACAATCGTCAATAGCATTACTTTCACCACAAAAATCATCTAAGTTTAAAAGTTCTATGTAATGATTAAGAGTAACCTCAAGAGCCAAAAAGTTATTATCCCTCACGGCATTCACCATGGAGTTTTCCAACCTTTGTTGATGATTAAGTAAGAATTCATTCGCTTCTGAACTATCCCCTTTTGAAGATGAAAATTGTCGATTTGTGACATTGGTTTCGCCAAGAGGAATACCATTTGACATAAGTTGGCCATTTTCTTTTATAACCTGGTTTTCCCAAAATGGCCTGACAAATCCGTTAGCCAGATCGGAAGGCGTATGATCCATCAGTAGAACAAGTTGAGATCTGTCCTAGCATTCGACGCCGTATTCCATGTAGTCATGTGACGTCATAGCCAGGTGCGCTGAGACTTATTAATATTGCTTCGGCCTACAGGGGAGTTTGCCATTTACTGACATCTCACCTGGCTATATGACTAACTTATCGCTTCCAATACAATTTCCCGCCTCAAAAGGTTTGTCGCGCCGTATAGACAGCCGATATAGAATTATACTATGTTGCTTGGTGGAGTAAGTGTTGCTTTGAAATAAAATTTATACCTACTAATTTGCTAACTTTACTATGAACCGTACATCGCTAATTGACTTGCTATAAGGGTTTTGATAGTATTTTTTTTTTCAACGAATTGCGAGAGTTGGCCGGTATTACTATCTATATTGAATACAGACACCATGAATTATAAAATTATCCTGGTTCAAAGGAGGTGGTTAAAGTTTAACCACCTCAGAGAATATTTTGTAGGAAAACATTAAATAATGAACGGTTGAACATCAGYTGTTTGATTATTTTATCTAACATCTTATTCCGTACAACATATTAATTCTCCTTCTTAAGTTTTATATCATTTTTGTTCTGATTTTGATCTCAATGTGAGTTTTAGGAAATAGGCATTAGACACGTTGTCAATAAAGCCATGGAAACAACGACAYATTTCTCAGTTCAATATACAGCTATTTTAAAAAAGCTTGTCTTCACCAAGGCAATTGTCAGTAGGAGATACTTCACACCAATATAGATAGTCACATCGCTTATTTTTAAAAACAACTAAAACGTCAGTGAAAACCGTATATAAATCGATGATTTTATGAAAGTTGATGTGGTTTATTATATGCACTTCAATACTACTATATATGCATAGATACATTCTAACTCCTATTGTCAGTCACCTTCAAACTGATGACCTTATTTGAAATAGTTATGTAATCTGTAAGTAAACGCATGTAAATTCATTGGAAAATGAAAAAAAAATATATTAATATTTATTATCATCAGGTCGAGTTAGGTCGGCTTTCCACGTCTGCTCCTTGTCGCTCATTGCAGTATCCAAATCCTCAGCCCTAGATCCATAATTATTATGGTTAACTGATATTTATAACAAGGAAGTATTTTTTACTATTAATCATTTTTCTAGGATATTGATGTTGGAGTGGTTTTCCTTTGACCTTGAAAGGATATCAAGGCGAAAAAATTTCAATCAGTTTTTCTTTGTTCTTCGTCATCATTGGCACAATCTTCCATTTTCTTTTCATGATCCCACYCTTTCACTACTATTACATAATAACTATTTTTCTATTACTTATTATAACTACTACGTCTTCACTAACTACAATGATAACAACAACGGCGACTACAACAAGAACAACTCGTACTTCTCTTACCTCTACTATTCACTCTTCTACCCGTTATCTTTCTAAAAACTCCTATCTCTGCCTATTCTTTGTGAATTGGAAATGAAATGAGAATAAATTATCAGCTTTCTATCAGCTGACGGGTACCAATATTCATCAGCTCTTGATATCATACATGTATTATGTAATAATCACACCAGTTTGTAAAAACTTACCAAGGATTTTAAATGCGTTTATATTTGAATGAAATGTGGACAAATTTGAAATGAAATATTATGCAACTTGATGAGAAAACTTTATCCGTTTACACATAATATAGCAATTATTTACGAATGGCATTCTCTCATGAATTATTCTTGAGTGTAGTGTATTTATTTTCATATTATTTGGCAGACCTCATGATGAAAATATAAGTAATGAACGACAAAATATGATTAATAATATTTTTGAGTAATAATGATTTAGTGGTCTTCAAAATGAACCATATATTATTTTAGTGTTATATTTGAACAACCTGATATTTGTCGAGGAGAACAGTTTGGGTAATATTTATATATCCCGGCTTGAAATTAGTTTCTTGCCAAAAAAACATGGTTTGTATAGTTTTATGACTAATGAATGAGYTGTTTTTTCTATTGAAGTAGACAGAAAAAAACTGATGGTGTTTTTCGTGTTATTTCCCTCAGCTATTATAAACGTTCAAGCAAATCAACGCTATTGTTTTAAACCCGATGCACGCATTATTATGTAAATGGTTCTGATGGAGGTACGAAGTCTGATGATATAAGAACAGTTTATGTTGGTTTAAATAATCAAAGACGAAGTTCGAAAATAGCGTGAATTAGATGTTTAAACAATAAATTTATTGCCATGGTAACTAGTGAAAACGTCTTCAATTCGATGACTTCGTTTGAAAATCCTCTTGTTCTCTGATCCGTCAACTCATTTTACCAATCAAAAGATTGAATATCGTAATTCTTTAAATATTTTGTTTGGGTTATTTTTCTGAAGTTCGTTTAACGATCTGTATAAAATTGTTGCTATCATATGATTGTGTGGGTACAAGAACCTGATGTCTGACACTGTCCACTTGATTATATTTGAAGTACCGCCATTTTGCTATTTGGAGTGTGGAAATTAATTGAATATTTGACACTCAACGCTTGAGTTCCGTGGAAAATAAGCTGATAGAACCACAGTAGTATGCCGTATTTTACATAGAAACGGGCTCATATGGATGTGTCAAAAGCGATGATCTTAATTTCTGACTAATCACGACCCTAGCATGGCGATTAGATGTGCAATTGTTGAGCCATGAATCGAATACTGGTAAAATACCGAACCCCAGGAATGAATTGAAAGAGAAATGACAGTATTCGACATATGGGCAAGTATTTTTCGGTTTTGACATCAAAACTGTTTGGGTGACATGTGGCGCAAGTATTAAACGATATCATCATCTTTTTGATATTTACCAACAAGCCACTAAATGAACCATAAGAAATTCTTAATTTTAGCTAGGGTGTGATTTAACTTATGTAGAATTAATGAATATTTAAAAAAACTGTCCATGCGAGTCTCTCCAGAGTATTTTCCCCGCAAGARAAAAAAACGTTTTAAGGAGAATATGCTCGCATGGTGAAAGAACTTATTAATTTTTTTTTTGGACACGCAAGAAAAAGAAAGCTCACTGGTCATTTTAAATATAAATTGTCTCATTGCCAATTTGTCAAAAATTGAAACGTCTGTGAAGTGCTGCCGTTTTTGTAAAAAACAACACTTGATCTGCAAGAGTGTGTTTTCTTAATGAGGAAAAGTTTTTGACACGTCCTTYTTTTAAKTTAGATTACTCGWGTCGACCACTCAATAATAATGTCCTTTTCTCACTTTTCACCTTAAACCGTTKATTTGAATACAAAGCTTTTAGATATGCGATATTCCAGCTAAGAAATCCRTGTTGATAATTGAATTATCAGAACTAATGTTTTTAGAATGCTCAGATAAGAGCTCTTCACTTGAAATCTCCCAGAAACCAGGAGGTATTCTTTTTGARAAGATAACAAGGAATTAAAAAAWTKRAMSGKTKKTWMMAAATGTAATGTAAATCAGTGATAACAAGGCAAAAAATAGGACAATTTTAAATGTGACATATGATGTTTGAACCATGTTTTCTAGGATATAGAAAATCGTTGTTTCTGGACTTTTTCCAGGCCATTTCCTGACGTTTAATACTCCAGAATCCAGAATGTATACCTAATTCCATTTTGGAAAAGGACCTTTTCTAGTGAGAGCGCGGGCTCAGGGGGGGGGGGGGGGGGGGGGGGGGGGATCCCTTATAAAAGTTGGTAAGATGCTCGACGGACCTTTTAGGGTCAAAAATAAAACCCTCGCGTACCGTTTAGGGTCCTGAGCTGATGCCGTACCTTTTAGGGTCAATTTTCGAACAACGTGAACAAAATTAAAGAAGTGTTACAAAGAAATAGATTTTGTTAACCTCAACAATCTATCGGCATTGATTTTCTTGAGCTTTTTTCTTGTTGAAGACGTCAAAAATGGTCGTACCTTTTAGGATCTGGAACCGATACCTGACTTTAATTAACGAGTACACGTCGAGCATACCTAGAAACTTTAATAAGGGAGTCCTCCCCCCCTCCCCCCCCCTCCCCAGGGAATTTAAATATGTCAGTTAAGAAATACGACCAAATATCAAGTTCCGGTAAATATAAAGAAAAGGAAAGCAAGACTAAAGAAACGCTATTCTCAAAGGCCAAATYTAAGTTATCATAACAGGAAACGGGAACAGAAAGATATTATCGTAGGCTGTTTTGCTGGTATTAAGACGTCTCCTGCTTCATTTCCTTTGCATGACTTGGGGGCTGGGCTTCAATATTAAWTCTGATTGTCTGGTGAATTCTGGTGATCTCGAGATGTTGAAATAGACGGTATTATCAACCGTACTCAAAAACATTCTGATTTTGTTGAATTTATATGAAAAAACTGCGACTTCGGGACGCCTCTTATGACCAGCCTCTTATTKAATTAATTGTCAATATATAGAAAGACGTTTCCTAGTTTTWTATTTTCTGCTCGTTAGCTGCGTCTGGTAAAATTCTCGACTACTAGATGGACGAGATAGAGTATATTAAAACTATTTAAAGATTTTGTAAAATAATCTTCATGACATTGTTGGATATCTTAAGGCAAAACCGGCTTTTTTCGCTTTTTTTGGATTTATTGCCACTAATATCTTATTTACTAAATATATTAAGTTACGTAATCAAAAACCTTATCCCCCACGATACGAATGATGTCTAAAATAGAGTTTCCTAATTTATTTTGAATCAAACACGATCACTGCACATCTATTTAAGCAATTTGGACAATGTAGGCTCACATCTGTTCACTCTATTTCTGTTATAAATATCCTAACACCATATCGTTTGTCAGTTACCAACAATATATGTGTGGTATATTTATTATAATATCTTTGCTGTTGTCTGTGCGTGTTTTTGTTGGGGGCATTTCTCGAGCTCTACAAAAAAAAACTTAAAATGGTCGGTGCAATGYGGCCGATTAGACTGAATTTTGKGATTTTTTTTAATACCATTTTATTTTTGATATTTTAGTATATTTTTCCTTGTCGACCAGTTTTCATATATTACTTGCAGCTTGTATACAGTTTTCAATAAAAATATACGTTATTACTTATACGGTCACCATTTAATTATGAAAAAAATATGAGATGTCCATTAGGTCTTTTWACATTTTAGGATACAATATCGAAACCTCGTATAGCATTCTTTATGACATATCGGTCCAACAATTTGTATAGTYTGCATAGGTTCTTACCGAATCGACAATGAAGTCAAATTTGTGCGCACTCCCACAATTCCTTTAGATCTTCCTTTGACATTTTAATGATAATAAACGCTAATTGAAACAGGTGTCACAACCAGCCGCGTTGTCCAACAATGTGTAGGTATATATGTCGTGCGAATTGCGTATGCTTGATTGTTATCATGATGTATTTTCAAACTTAGACAATGAAGCTAAGTTTAACTTGATTTTTATAGAAGTTGTATTTGCTTTGTAGCATTAGTTCAGTTTTAACGTCATTGTATTTGGTTTAGAGAGATATGGTGATCTAAATGACGCATTTGCTCCAACTTGATTGTAGATTCGTTATTTGCTTATTGCAGTATTGTTTACGAATCGGTAAAGATGCTTCAAAGACCTGATTATATTGACAAAACCTCTTACGTTTGTAAGTTTTTAGAAAGTCAAGTTGTTTGCTGTGTGTGTGTTTGTGTTTTTTTTTTTTTTTGAAATCTATCATTCAGATATCATCTTTTATTTATTCATCACAAGGGCGAGAGGAAAAGATTAGAAAGAGGAAAAAAGGAGGAGGGTGTTAGGAGAGAAAGGATCTGGAAATGAAAATTGTCAACAAGGGCTGCGCAATTTGAATTAAACCCCTACTGTTATGTTGCGGCCAAATCTGCGCATTGGTCCACCGTGTTTCTGAATCACGGTCACTTACAATAAGTATACTCTATACGCAATGAACTTACGTTCCCGTATAACCTTCTTTAAATCAGTTTYCTACTAGATTGTCAAAATATTTTTATTTTTGATAAACACTTTATATTTACATTTGCGTATAGTTTTATAGTCACTCAATTAACAGCTTCTTTGCTTTCTTTTTTTTTTTGGCCTTCTTTCTGTTTTTTTGAACATCTATTTCGACTTATAATACTTTATCTGAGGACGTTAGAATTAAATGTTGTRACTATCACTCACTTGTGTGGACCTATACATAATTTTCTAACGGGATTCAGGTTAATTGACTTGCATTGGATTTTATCGGCAGTTACAAAGCCTCCTTGGCAGACGTTTAATAATATCTGCAAAAGAGTCTATCTTAACCTGAACCATTTTAGTGAAAATTTGAAWACGTGGGGCATCAATTTGTAGCTTTCTTACTTTAATTCTGAACTCAAACAAGAACAGAAATTACTTACTCGATTTGGAATAGTCTTATGGACAAAACTAAAGACTACGAAGGTGTACTAGTGTAATAATATTTCACACACTTAACGTTCTCTCTCTTATAAAGCTAAACAAAAATAAAGGACGGGAAAACAAAAACAAACAAGCAAAAAACACGAAAATAAAAAATCAAAACAACGAAAACCTTATTTTACCTTGACGATTATATCTATAAATACTTAATGTACATGCGCAGTTGGATTAAAAGTCAAATGAAAAACAATAGAATATTAATTAAGTTGACGTTGAGCTTTCAAGTGTGGGAACATGATGATGAAGTGCGCGTGCGCGACCACATCTCACTATTACAGAGGTAGGCTTTGAAACGATAACTCGGCTCACAGGCTCGGCTTTGACGTGCCCTGAAAGCTTTTCGTTGATTGGTTCTTGTGTTACTCTGAATTGGTCGTCGCACTCTTTYTTAATTGGGAGCATGTGTGCAGTGTGTCTGGTTGTTAGACTGTGGTTCTCTTCGAAGGCTTCTAGTTTTTTGACTGGCTTGTATTCGTATGGTAGTTCTACAAACTTGTACACCAACCGTTGACCGTTCACCTAGTAAAAACAATATACACTAACATTTTCGCGGGTTGTAGAAGTGAGTTCTTGCAGTTTATTAGGGCTCCATCTGGGGGTATTGAAATGAAGCTTGTCATGCAAGCTTGAAGGCGCTACCATGATAACATAACATGATTTAACAACTGAACAATTAGAGTACAACTGACTAAAAGCTCTGCAAAAGCTTATTAGTTTCCACAATTCTTAATTACAGATGAAATGGGGGTATGGTTTATAAACTCAAACATTCTTCTGCGAATTTTCTTTGTTTGAAGTTCACGGATTGAACATAGTAGTTTTTTTCACAGCTTTTCAGTGTAGCAAATCATTTATTATTTCAATGGTCATTTTGTGTAAGGTTGAAAGCAGAAAAAAATATCTATTACTCCTATTACTCCTTGTACATGCCACTAGGGATTGCAATTAWCTAACATTTACAATGATTATGAGTCTCTAGTTTGTACCTTCCTGATAATGTTCTTCTGGTAGTAATATCGTAGTGCACGACTCAACTTGTCGTAGTTCATCCCTGGTCTTTGTTTRACGTCRCCCCAACGCTTCGCCACTTCTTCTTGATTACGTAATTTGAATTCGCCCTGGTCCTTTTTTGTCCATGAGATCATTGATGAGCAGTTTTCGTCAGCCAACAATTCGAGCAGGAATTCCCACAAATGGAGAGCGGTCTTGCTACTGCTCAGTCTCTTTCGATCTTCTGTTAACAATAATACGACGTGTATGTATTATTACAGTGATTTTATATGAGTACTCTCAGGCCGGGGGTTCGGACGGTCCCCCCCCACAAGCTTAAAAGCTCCGGTGTTTCTCTTTTTCTATTGTTCTATTTAAAAGTTCTTTTGTTATGAACTATTTTTGAGATAGAAATTTGTATGAACTGCTCATTCTAACGGCCAGTTCTTACACACTACACCTGTGCATTGAACTAATTTAGTTAAACATTATGAAAAAACGAACCCCCCCCCCCATTTGTAAAGCAGCCTACGGGTCTGACACTATACACCCTAACGATGGTACGAAACATTCATCAGCTAAACTATATTATCATTAGAATACATCATAGCAATGTTGTTTGTGCGCATGTCATTTACTCATGCCATGACTGACAGCAGAATCAYCATCATGTCAGGCACTAGCTGCTAATTTAGAAATCAGTATGAAGGATGCACATCTTGGGCTGCTTCCTTTCGGGTTACACCACAAGCGGCGTCCTCTGCGAGATAAGTGGACTCCGAGTACTGAGTACTGTATTGAAAATAACAGAGTACATATTACGAATTTGTGCACAATGACTTGTACATGCTGCATCGTATAAATGGGATATTAAAAGCGATTTACATAAAACCGAATAAACAACTTAACCAACCAGAGAACRCGTACGAACAATAAACAGATGTAAATGACAAATATACTCAATTTTGATTTGAGAATACCATTTAAACTGAACCTATATTTAGRCAAAGGATGGCGGTATTTCATAAAAGCACTTATCTGACTGTTCGCATTAAAGATTTTCACAAACATCCGCTCATCTAATTATAGATGCCGGAATTCAGCAAGTAACATCCTTGTTCCCTGTGACGGCAATTTATAGCATTTTACACTTTTAATCCCTTGGTAGTGACTATTATAGACTATTATAGTATCCATGCTGAAAGTAAATGTTTTGCCTAGACGCCATGGGGTATTGTAGSGCAATTATACCTTAAATTGGAAGTACACGTCGATGCTTTCTGTGCAAAGTCATTGCCATTTTTATACTTGTATTATATAAATAACTGTCGTGATCGGAAGATGACTCATTTATACTTTGCCACTGGAGATGTACGGTTTATTAGAGAAMGATAACCGAAGCAGACTGGGGAGAGGAAGTCCATTACTTCAAAGTATTACTATGTTGATCTCATAAAAAGCGCAGATTGGAATATTTGCTACAATTGAGTTGTTCAAGTGGGAAATGCCAAAGATCTTTTGAATAATTATCAGAATTTTAAAAAAATAACTAAAGAGATTATGAGAAGTTTTGGTTTCCGCTTATTAAAATTTCAACAATTTAGTCAAAACGGGAAGTTCCGGGAGCAGACTGTATGGAAAACAATAATGCGAACAGATATRAACGCTGATTAACTTAAATGATCTAAAATTATTCCMAAAAAGATCATRAAAGATAAAGCGTTTCCCTATKAAGTTGRCTTCGAAAATGCGAGGGCGGAAGTGAGAGAGTTTGTCGTATTGAAATAAACGGTTAAGCACAAATYGAAAATCCTTGGAATATGAATGGTTAGTTTTTGTGGCTATCGATTGATTCAATTATTATTTTCTGATCTTTTCTTATGGTGGGAAAGTAAATACCGTGGTAGGGTTTTGTACTATTGTCTAAACGGTTAACATGTCAGTCATGATGTACCTATCAGTGACAAGGCCGACATTTCAGAAAAAGGTTTAATATATTTTTGAATAAAATTATGGAATTTGAATAAATTTTGACCGCTAACTTATCAGTATCAATATAACAATGCATAGGGTAGCTGACATTTCAAAGTTAAACCTCTAATATATTCAATAACCGCGAATAAGCACAATGTCAGAGAGTTTGAAATCTTGTTTACAGCAAGGAAAGAGCGGCAGTAACTGCATAAAGTTACCCATCATGCATCTGATTTAAAGATATATGATAGCAGTGACAATGTTTGCGAATGACTTTATATCAGTGTTATTTTAAACGTTTATTGGGCTAAGTCGTATAAGCAATATTTGTATAACAAACTAAAGAGCTGACAGCATGAACGCTTATTCCATAAATCGAATGCACTGAAAAGTTTTTTTACCTCTTTACGAAGCCGTTTTGACAAACTAATATCTATATTTATGAATTTCAATGAAGAAATTATCGCAATGATTTAAATCGACGAAGAAACAAATGCAAACATTTTCTAAACGACTACAGAGAATACTGTTTTTTCATTAATCAGTCATTCGTTACAACGTTAAATTTTGAAAAGTCAATTRATCTCTTGAAAATGAGTCAGTGTATGATAGATACTCCTAAAGACACTTAAATATCTTAGATATAACCTCTCAGATAATGTATACTGTCTTACATTTTGCAAAAAGAAGAAAAAGAAGAAAAGGAGTTTAAACGAAAACCATAGCATACCTTGTTTGAACGGCAATAACGATGTCATCACGAGGCTTAGAACGTCAATGATATCCTAATACTATTCAGTTGTATAGCCCAGTTTACACAACGGACAGACGGATAAAATACTTCAGATTAGTCACTTATAATGTGTATTATAGCCGAGTGGATGGCTAAGGGTTTTCAATACTAAATGTCTATAGAATATATATATATACATACGCCTACTCTTTAAAAACAGACCTTGTACCTTGACTTAAGTGACTCAGCCAACCGGAAGCTGACGTTTGGTCTTTTTTTAAAACTTGAGAGCGGGATTGGAATATTCTCATCAAATTTCGAGTTGGCGGGACTCCTCTGAGTCACAACGATTTTAGCAGCGATTGTTTRTCAGACTGAAATCGCATTTATTTATTKTAAGTTGCCTTAAATATCATCAGTTTACGATATTTCGGGGCTCTCTGTGGACATRTTTTCAAATTGAGCTATTCAACAGTTCAATGGCCCGAATCTAGTTATTTTTAATGCAAAATTATTACTGACTGTTTTATTTATGATGCTAGTAGTACTTTGGTTGTTTGTGCTGAGGTACACTTGACGTACTTTGCACTGAAAAGATATCATATCTAACTGATGTATCTTCCTTTACGTTGGCTTGTTAACAATCATGTTGGTAAAGAATCCATTACAAACGTTTTTGAATAYATATTGTAAGTTAAGACATTCTAATAACTTTAGCCAGGCTTAATTCTAAGACCTGGTGAGGAAGTCATGGGAGATTTTCTGCATCGACTGTAGAACAGTGGGACTGCCTTATGTATTATACGGAAAGAAACAGGAACGCTGAAGACCATTTCAGTGTGTTATGACTTAAGTGTACTGAACCGACAATTCATCTCTCGTTTTGTCGATTCGACTCAGTTCCATGCGGGATTCCTGTGCGGGGTTAGGAAGGAAGAAGGAAAACGGAGTCAAACGGAGTCGTCATTTTTGAATCCATCCCTCTGTTCATTATTTTATTCTTTCTTCCAATTATCCCATCTATCCGTCTAATGATTTTTCTTTTTAAATTTAAAAAGAAAAGTGGGAAATAAAAGTCTTCGAAGCTGCAATGGTTAACATTAACACCCGATTATAATACGATTATTTTACGATTTAACATCGATTCACTCTTCCCAAATTGAATGCAGTCCTACAAGGCCTGCAGCATCGTACGCCCCCACACGAACCATACAGTGTGCGTGAGATTACTTTGACAACTACCGGCCTCAGATATGTGAAAATATACAAAAAATCTAAATCGATCAGATGATGCGGATGGAAAATTCAAATCATGTAAGGAAACGCTCTATTCTGCTCACAATCCTTATTTGGTAAGCAGAAGTGTAACCAGACCAGCTGTTTCCTCACCAATTATCAAATAATCTCGCTGTAAGAGATCTAAAGGGATGTATCGAAAGAAAAGATTGTCAATCCTTTGCTCAAATGTAAGATATATATATAATTTTCCGTTAGTCGCGTTGGTTTTTGTAGCAATGGCGCGTGCAAAACACTCAGTTTGCTGAAGAAGGCCGAAGTGCCGAAACGTTTCAATAAAAAGTAGGAAACCTAGTTACAAGTTGCGTGGCTTTTTCTTTATTTATTCTATTTATATATATAATTTACTATACGCGGAAATTTTGGTCARATCGCTATAACCTAAGATCGACTAAGGATTACTGAGAGAGTGAAGTTACTCGACCTTAAATATTACACAGTCTCTCGTTATCTTAGAGGAAAACTTTAAACATAAAGTCAAAACTAAGGGAAGAAAACGTCTCGTTCATTTCAAATTAACTGATATAAAGACGCCTAAGATTTTACTAAGACTACAGCGATATCACAGAAAGTTCTGCTGTCAGTATTAACGCTCATTGACGAGAAAACGTCTAGTGGGACTAAGCGCTCACTATGTTGTATCACAGTGAGGCTCTGATAGGAATATAACGACTAAAAAGGTGATTGTGAAAACTGATCGATTGAAAACGAAAAACAACTTGATAGATGTTACGTTAATTCCTTTCGCATTTCGTACAATGCGCATCGAACTGCGATCCAATTCATTTCCTATTAAAATAAGTATAAGCAAATTAATTTTTTCCAAATAGGTACGGGATGGTATGGACTTAGCATATAYAAGAATATACATTTGTGTTCTTAAATCAAACTGAGTAAGCAAAAACATGGCTCAGAGTTGGACTACTAACCTGACATGACTTGTGTCTTCCTACAGACCTAAAAACAAAGAGACAATTCAGTTCAATMAATTATCGAATCGAATAGTGTCGTGGGAAACATTCCCAGTGCCCTGAAGAATGTGAATATGAATTTCCGCTGTGTCAAAGTAGTCCGTCATGCATTGCAAGTCATGCGAAGTATCCCGGAAATATAATGAATATAGTATAGATCGTATARATGGAATGCGCTGAAAGACTATATCTTATGCCTGTCCTTAATGAATATCCCAAAGTGATACGTTTTACAACAATTTGCAGTCCAATCTTACTGCAATGTGGTCAGAATACACGTGTGTGTATTGTCGCATGTTGGGCCTACGGTAGACTTTTTTGACGAACTTAAATATTCARATCAACCTCAAAGTGCTCTAAAGCGAACAAGCGGCATTTTTACATAAATTATACCCCACTCAGGGAAAAAAGGCGCTCTTTTTGAGAAGCACACAGACGTTTTGTGTATTTTGAAAAGCACGTTCCTCAACAATACAGAAAGTATATTGTATTAATCAGAGTACATTTGCGATATKCTTAATATCTTAGCTTTTCCTGTTTATTACCGAATCAGACATCTAGTCTATAAAGAAAGTTGGTGCAGGATTCAAATACTGATCTGCCATGYTGTGAACATGTGCTCCAACGCTTCATCTATAGAAAAGACGTGTGTTGGACTTCCTGTGGCAACSGACACTGCACTTACTCCATTAATGTGGAGTAATAATCATTGGAAAAAATCGCGCGCTTTAAAGGTTGTAAATATGATGTAAGTGTCCAGAATTCTGTAAATTTGATGTAAATGATTTCCATTAAATTTACAGAATTTTGGACACTTACATCATATTTACATCATAAAGCGCGCGATGTTTTCCAGTGTATTGTTATGTTGTTATTACTAAAATAAAATTAAAATTAATCAATGTTATATTTATGATTAAATATCCATTATCAGATATTAGTACTGTTATAGTAATCATCATTAGGGTTCGAATTATCATCATCATAATCTCATTCATAAGTAATATTATGATAATACTTAGTTATTATTTCTTTTTAAAATTATATTAATATCAATATTCTATCATCAAATTATYAATATTTGTTTTCTGTTACTTACTGCCGTCATCAGCATCATTAAACAGTATTAATAATAATGATAATACTAATAATAACTTCTTTCTTTAAACCTTATAAAACAAGATCTCAAAGGTCTTACATTATAAATTTAGATTATAAGAGTATATTATGGCTACTTCTCGAGAATTGGATGCGCGGAAGAATCAATAAAAACTATCTATCAGTAGCAAAGTAATTTGTCTTATTATCTTTTCCCCCCGTTGTGGTTTCAATGTAGCTTTACAAATATTCATAAATTGCTTCCTGAAAGTTAATCTTCAGTCTGCCAGACTATGTGGGCACATCGTTCGAAACTAAGCAAGTTCTTTCTCAGAAATTATAACATTTTGATCTACTTGATAAACATTGCAGAATATGATAAACAATTTATAAAACGTAAGTCAACTAGAGTAAATATGTTCGCCACAAGGTATTTTATAGTATCGTATCTTAATGGTTTCGTTGAACATAATTAAATTGGCGTTAGGTCGTTGTTATAATATTCGAAATGTTTTGTTGTATAATTGACTGTTTTTTGCAGAACGGATTGTTTACAATGGAAAGTTAATTCATGGAAGTCCGACAGAAATTGGAAATATATACTAATATTTAAATAACTATAAATAACTTATTGACTTCATATTTTGGCTTTGATTTATTTGGYTTGAATTATTTGGGTTTTCTAGTGTTTCTTGTTCGTTCTCCTATATATCTAAACTTCCTGTTAATCGTTAGTTAACAAAGAATTCACTCATTGCAATAATMTTTTAGAAACTATCTATTATTGTCGTTGTTACTTTTTGATTGATAAGTGCTTAGAAAATACCGATAAAATTCATTGCATTTTCCTATGTAAAATTCATTCTTTCATATACATAGGCATTCTTGAAAAACCTAGTGATTTAGTTTAAAACTAATACCATACATATACCAACAATGCCTTTATAAAAACAACTATAAATTCTTATGATGCACACGTCTAAAGCGAAAACAAGTCGTTTTCTCATCACYGTTCCTGTTATGTTACCTTTTTGATCCTGAACTTTCGTTCTCTGAACAGTTTCGTATGAAGCCTTTTAGCGGTGTTGTCGCTAAGGATAAAAGTATATTAGCTCTGTAAAGCTTCCGTTGGTGAGCTGATTAGGGTACCCGGAAATGTCTAGACGAACAGGATTGTGGGCCGCTGTCTAGGCTGGCATTTTTTATACACTTCCTGGTTCATTGTATTATTCCTATCTTTTATCTTCCTTTTTTATCCCTCCATTTGATTTCACAATATTTAAATTAARCAATGATTAAGTGGGAAAATTATACTAATATAATTTTGGATCTTAAAGTACACTCACAGATGTCCATTTGTTTACAGTGACGKTTTCAGAAACAATATCTCCTCAAAASCATTTTAGATTAAGGGATTAAAACCGGATGARCTGCAGAAAGACTCTTTTATTTTATTGAGTTTTTATAGCCTCCTCCTCACTTAAGATGAAGACGAACTCTCTGATCTTAACTGTTTCGTAGTAGATTTATTAATGGGTTCTTTATAAATACAATATGGATGCCATGTGTCGGACGTAGGCTAATATTCTGTGATACGGATATACCAATTAAAAAGGCTTCTCATTTAGCTCGTACGTAGTCGTACGCAAATGTTTTCAGACACTGAGAATGTTTTTTCATTTAGAGCACTACACCGCTCTGTTGCTTTTTATTGTACACGTTCAGTCTCTTTGTCTTGTACACTTTGTTTCACGGGTTTTTAGAAATAGGMCTGGGCACGACTCGATCTCATTTACAGTCGTTTTGCGGGGGCCCTRTGTATTAATTTCTCTTTTAGCTCGATTTAAGTTCTCAGTTTTACCAGTTCCATTATCAACGTCTATTGAATCTTTGTTAAGTTCGATGACTGTTGGRCATCAGTGCTAAAATGAGGTTATAAAAGRGYATCACATGTACGACACGCCCTTTGCGCTTATTTCACGATGGCTCATGCTAAAGCACAGTACTAAAACAATCTGTGAACCAGACTATATAAGGAAGTAGATATCGGGCAGAGAGAATGTTATGATGTTAAGCATARGTAAACAGGAACATGATTCCCCTCTATTGTCATAACTGATTCGATCTGCTTTGAATAACATTAATTTAAGAAGGTAACAAACTTGCAAATAAAGTAATTAATCGTAGAATTATTTTTTATCGTAGTTATTTATTTATGATGTTAAGTCCAATCTMGTTTGTTCTTTAAGTCATTAACTATGTACTGATGTTTTATTCATCAGTGTTAATTATAATATATATTGTTTTAACACGTATCCAAATTCGCCTGCGGTCTTCCGCCCATTGTTTTTATCTGTGTAATTGAGAACTAATWTCACAAATTTTTATGCTGTTTGTTCTGTGCTTATTAAGAAATCTAGTTTCTACTCACTTTATTAACAAATGCTAACCGACGGGGAAAACCCTAAGTCTATCGAAACAGTGTTAAAAACCGAGATTCGAAGGCAGGAAGTGGCATGTTATGTTCTATTGTGTCTAACATTGGGTAGCGTCCACGGATATTATATAAATCGTATCAGATCTACAAATCATACGAAGACTGTCCAGAGAAAGATTGTAACTCAGAATTTTATAATAAGACAATACCTACTGTTTTGGAGTTTAAAAGTTTCTTCTTGAGAAAAACTTCCCCCCTCCCCCTACCTTAATTTTTGGGGATTTTCTCCTTTTAACTATATGGCTGAAAATGTTTTAACGCTTAAAAGCGTTTTCCTGAGGAGGGTGGAATGCGTAGAAATTTTAATTTTAATTTAAATTTCTAAAGGATTTCATAACATAGTGAATCCACCAATAGCAAACAAGAGGAAATGAATTCGAAACAAGAAAATCCACGCAAATATCGCGTGGAGAGCAAATGAAAAATAGCGGATGTAAACAACTGTGTGTAGGTACTAATTATAGCATAAAATAGGAAAGAAAGTGGACTCTCAAGTAAAAAAAAACATAAATGGACTTAAAATATTATTTTAAATCTTGTGCAATATCCATGTGCTTGAATCAAGAATTTATTCAACTTTTTATCGAATTGTTTTCCAGTGGAAAACTCCAGATAATGAACTAGTGAACACTTCAGATTAATTATAGTCCATATAGGTTAATACGAAGGCCAAKACGCCGCTTCGCCTCTTAGGCAAAGTTGAAAGCACAGACCGGAAGCTGTTTGGAAGCGTATAACTTTAATTAAAAAAAATCCAACATTTTAGCGAAATATTTCATGATATGATTGAAGTAAATGACAAGGAATAGTATTATTGATATTTCTGGGGGTATATTTCACGGCGTGCAAATATTAAGAAATGTTATCGTATGGTAAATTGCATCTAGAACTGATTATGCTGACCTCGAAGAAACCTATTCTGACTAATGATCTTTCAGATCTATTTATATTGAATCGGGTTTGAATTGAAGCAGTCTTTCAAAGACTGTGTTTTTAAATAACTATTACAGTAGACCATTAAGATCATGTCTTGTTAAGTTAAATGACAGATTGTGAGTAACAACGCTAGAATGGCTTTACTCGTGTCATTCTACAATAGAAATGTTATTCACTATGTAAAACGTTAACTCAAAACACACAAGCTTGGGTTTTACTAGCGAATATTACTCACCCTTWAGGCTGGATAAAAATAGCTAGTTCCTACAGCCTGCAATGCTTTTTAGTGTTCACGKCGAGACCAACTGACAACAACACGAAATCTTTCCAATGGCACGCATCAGATTGTCTGTTACTTCCTGGTTAGGTCACGTGATAGCCGTATCGCATTCCGGAAGAAAGTCAAGTAACGCAATACTGTCACAGTATCAGAGAAAACAATATTTTTTGTTGACTTTGGATTTACATTTATTTGGTAATCTYGTTTAAACGCGAACTGCTTTGAAAAAGGTAGTGGCTGACTAATGGATTTTTGCATGTGCTGGAGTGAATTAAAAAAATTAAACTTCAATAAAATTACTATTTTATTACCTCAGTCTGTGCGTGGCATTATGCACATGTCGAATRCGTCGTTTTTTATGGTTCAAAGAAGATGTAAATTCGTTGGCTACGCACGCTACTTTCCATATCSCAATTCTTTCTGTTTCTTTTTTACCTGCTGTCACTGGAAAAAATCGCGCGCTTTAAAGGTTGCAAATTTGATGTAAATATGATTTAAGTGTCTAAAATTCTGTAAATTTAATGGAAATCATTTACATCAAATTTACATAATTTTGGACACGTACATCATATTTACATCAAATTTACAACCTTTAAAGCGCGCGATTTTTTCCAATGTGTTATTCTGATAAACTCTTTTATTACCTCTTTCTTGTTTTTTCCTTCCCTTTTCCATTCATTTCCTGTCTCCATTTTTCAGACTTTGTTCTTTTATGACTTTTCTTAGTCTTTTTTCTTCCTTTTCCATCCTTTCCCATTTTCTTTTTTTCTTTCACTAAACTGACACTGCCGGGCTTGATCAACATTGTTTGATATCTTCAAACAATTTGTCTCTTATCGTTGTCCTTATATTAGTGAGATACCAATCTTCTAACTCGATTAAGTATTCGAATTCGACGATTAAATGTTCGATCAAAAGTTTTTATCTCAAAATACTGATAGATATASAAATACAATAATGGTTATCTCAACTAAGTTTATTGCTGTGATCTATTGTTCAGGTCAGTCGGTCTTTGCTGAACAGGAAACAGGATGCTCGCTGTCGAAGTATTGTCAAACAATATGTCAAAAAATCTTTTTAAAATTGACGTTTTGGTGTATACATGTCTACTCTGAAAGTTTCACAGGTAATAATCTCATACAGCGCCAGGGATATAGAGTGAAATATAGATAGAACTTTTGAAATTTCTTCGTGACTATTCAATTTTTAATGAAATGTCCTTGAGTTTTCTGTTACATCTATTATTGTGTGAGTTGTAAAGGTAAAAAAGCTRTTTTAAAACKTAAAATATATAGCGTAATTACTGTCATATTAAGAGAATATAAGAGCCTAAGCTTTGGAACGAAAGATGTTTTATTTTTGGGTTCAGTAATTTTTTAGCTATTTTTATGTGAACGATATGACCTTAAAACTTCCGCATTCTCTTGACCTTCTTACATAGAGCAAGGTTCGATGATGTTCTTCCTGCTCTGCTGAAAGTGCGTTTCAGCTGTAAGGGATATGTACTCATGAGAGTAAAAAAAAACCAACAACAACAAAAAAAGCAAAAAAAAAAAAAAAAGAAAAAAAAACAGAGCATAAGTCAATAGCGTTGTAGAAAACTGAGTCCCAGAATTCTTATCGGTCGCTTACCGTTCTCTTTACGATGAATCTAAATGAAATGATTATCTATGGCGCACAGTCAAAAATGTTTAACCAGAAACTCATAAGTCATTAACATTATATTTATTATTGATGAAATKATATAAAATTCTCACATAAGATTTTATTTTTCGCTGGTCAAAGATGATAAGAACTTAGACATAACACGAACATTGATAGGTTTTCTCGTGTTTAATTGGTGTCGATCGTGAATATTTTAAAATCCCAACCATGCCACTCAGTAGTCGTGCCGTTTTTTGTATTTTCTCTTTGATGGAGGGAAATGAGACAAAAACGGCTACAAAGACGCATAACTTTATGAGGACTGTTTAGGTGTATTCCAATGACATTCCTTACAGTCAACTCTCGTCTTGCGGTCACCCCGATATTATGGACACTTAGTAAATCCTACTCCAAAGAAATGACTGAAAATAGATCCTTTTACACGACGAGAGTCGACTATACTTGGCACAAATTTTTTGATGATTGTAATTGGCCTACAGGAAACCAATTCCAGGAAATATTGTATAGTATTATTACTGTAGATAAATAACTTATTGACTCTCAGTTCCCAGTAAATCGATATTTATGGTATTCGTTTGTTCGTCGAACGACGGTTCTTGAGTCTTCGGTTTCATATTGTCAGCAGTTGCTTCCACCACTTCTACGTCACATGGCATCATCTGGGTGTATTCGCACCCTTCTGACTGAAAATATTCTTTATAGCTGCTATTGCAGTGACACGCCCCACCAATCAGAACTTGAAATAATTCGGAAACTGAAACAAAAATGGTCAATGTTAATTTGTAACATTTATTGCTATTGCAATGACACACCCCACCAATCAGAACGTGAAATAATTCGGAAACTGAAACAAAAATGGTCAACGTTAATTTGTATTTTAATACAAATTAAATTAATTAGAATTAATTTGTATAGGAATTCGCACGACCTTGAATACAATTTGGAATTAATAGTCGGGAGTTCTTAATAATTGCACGAGCCCGATAAAAGACACGTTTCTTTGGTGTTGGTTTTCATTCCATAAAGTTTGTTGATATAAACCTAAAAATTATTTTAATAGCATATTTTAAATTTGAAAGTGCAAAACATTTAAAATAAAAATTTTCACGACTTCTACTTAATTGATACTCTTACGGAGTACAATTAACGCTGTAATCARTGAACTCCTCTCGACCAATGAGAAAGTATTATTTTGTTGAATGTACTATAAGTATTGTAATAAATTGTGGCYACGTTTGAAGCCATTTGCATGCGTCTCTGTCTTACCTGTTAGTTTTAGTCGYGATCGCGCGACTGCACGAATAAGAAACAAGACAACCAGAGAAAATATACATATAATGAAGCCCACGATCAAGAAAGACAGCGGTCCTTCTCTAATAAATTCCTACAAAAAATAAATACCGTTAAGGTTGGTCACCGTTTGATTTGTCTACAATTTTAGAGATAAAAAGTAAATGTTAGTTGACTTACCTTTCCTACCAACAGTGGTAGTAGCATTTCCCCACTAGCTGAACTTACTATAAGAATAGAAGTCAACGACCCTGGAAAATAGACATCGTGTAACTCTATCATTATTAAGACCTATTTTAATTTCTTTGTGCATGCTTGAGGTATTTTATTCTTTATACTATGATGTATTTACTTCAGTAATATACAGCCTTTTGCAAAAATTATGAGAATTGTCTAAATATCTAAATATCATAATATCCATATCCATATATTGTCTGGAACACGAAGGTTTGCTAGAATAATTCATTGTTGACATCGAGAAAATGTTCAGAATTACGGATAAGTCTGTCGCCAAAAAAAAACTAAACTACAAAGACAAGGGACTAAGGGCATCGCGCGGGATTACCCATCATGCACTCGATATTATGATATTTAGATATTTCAACAATTCTCATAATTTTTGCAAAAGGCTGTATATAATTACATACCTGTAACTTCTATATATAGTTCTGCGGCCGCTAGTGTTGACGGGAAGACACTGCTCATAAATAATCCAAACAAACAGGTACCAATCCAGAGTGAAAGAGGGTAGGCGTGGAAATAAAACATGATTGACATTGCAGTAAAACAGCCAATCTAAAGACAACATTATTTATCATATTTATATTATCTACAATCGTTGCCAAACATTTTTCTCCGTTATTTTATCACAGTTCTCTCCCTCAGCCCCCTTTCCGCAATGTTGGGTTTTGTTTTGCATGGCTGTGTACTATGGTAGCATGCTCAATGACAACAWTGCATTTAAGGGGTCCGGGGGATGAAATTGTCTGCACTGGGTGTTGCTTAAAATGAGGCAATTCTCTGGAATGGTGCAAGGATTTTGTCAACGACTGTAGGTCTGCAAAAACTAGGATAAAATGCTCGTTTTCGAAATCAAAGTTGATACATTTATCAAAATGTACTTGAAAGACCAGTTTAACTTTCATTTTGATTAACATCACAACTTCAAATATCCCGGTTTATAAATTTTTGGGTTTGGAATGTTGAATGACAATAGGAAATATCGCTATCATCATCTTGGTAATAGGCAATGTGCAGCGACGCCATTCTGAACTACGAAGCATAATGGTAAACTCTGAAATAGTCATCCATTTGTGGTTTCATTTGCTAAATAATGCGGTTTGTACTGTTTCTTTATAGAAGTCAAGTCAATGGATTTCAAGGATACGTTTAGCAAACTTTTAACGAACAAGTCCGATGACTATATTTCCCATGATGCATTGCTCTACAAAATGGTGTCCCTGCTCGTTGCCATGACGGGGTGACCTACGTAGCACGCAGTTGATGTAATGTATTCATAAAATGTATTGTATTCCATTGTTTCTCGTTCTATTGTATTATGTGTTTTGTATTATATCTTTATGAATATATTACATCAACTGAGTGCTACGTAGATTCTCCCTTGCCATGACATCATACCATGTTRGTTAATAACATTTTATCAGGCTTCACGACCATTGATAAAAAGATTGATATGAATCGYCCAACTGCAAAAAGACACTGGAATAAAAAAAAAACACATTTTACTGAAAATCCTATAAAGCACAACGGACTCAGATCACGTGATACACCACATGAACAATAATCACGTGACTTACCCAGAATAATGAATTAAGATATGCAGCATGACTCGACTTAAARTGAACGTCGCTCTTGACAGCATAAGTATACAGATAGCCCGCATAAGCACCCTGGTAGGAAAACATAAGATTACTATAATTATGCCTTACTATCGGACGCTGTTGTATAAAAATTATACCTGAAGACCATCAAAGAAAAACAGCAATAAAGCACATAAGAATGTTATTATTGGAACTTTGGCGGGAATATCTCCAAATGTTGACTTGATAGGTTGAGTGTCGATTGGTCTGAATATCTGCGATAATTCTGATAATACAAAAAAGTTAGATAAATRTTAGTAGTGTTCAAAAGCAAAGAATATTAAAGATGAGACTGAAGGGGCTCGTGTGTAGAGCGCGGTTCGTTTCTTCCCCATGAGTTCCTTGGGTATCCTGCAACCCTTTCTGAAGGATTATTTAATTCTATCATGATGATTTTGGTACCTTTTCCTTCAGGGTCGTCAGGACTCTTGGCTGGAATGGCTGCTATGTTCACAATACGACCAGTAAACATGACAGGCGACCATTTCCTGATTTGCCGTTGTTTGAATATCAGGTAAATTAGTCCTAACTGTACTGGAAGCTGAAATGGTATTTATAATCGTTAGTATTGTGAACGATACGGCACGACGATTTTAACGCGTTAAATCTAATTGCAAAGTCAAAAGATGTAATTCTCAGGAGCTGTCAATGAAGTGTAAACTTGTTGTCGTTTCATTTTTGATGAAATCGGCCAAAGAGAGGGCGTTTGTACACATGTGAATACTTTCAGCCAGGGTACAAAGTAATCAGGTCTTGGAGCGCGCTTTTCCAGTAACTGACCATCTTCCCCCTACATCTACCTCTCACCTGAAGGCTTGCTACTATCCAGTAAGCGTACTGCACAAAAGGCCTGGTATTCAGCTTCACCATGGTTACCTTTGTGACRCGRGTGAAGTTTAACTGGGTTATATTCACATTATTGTATACGAGATTATTTAAAAACTCTTCTGTAAATGTACTGTTTTCCAGTGTCCACCCAAAGATGTTCGATTCAAAGTGGCCATTCTTGCAGGCACTGCGTAAAAACGGCTCCGCAATGACAGGGCTCAGTAACGCACCGATKCCGTAGAAGAAATGAAGCGTCTGWAGGGAAAAGATTAGAAATGAGATCTTATTCGAGGATGTGGTCTATTAGAATATGGAGACTTACCTGTAAACGTGGAGCAACCTAGAGATAAACATATAGGTGAGCAGACTGACATATTGGTATATCATTTCATGACTAATATTAACTATAACTAGTTGGCTACAAATATGCACTAAGTAATGAAACACAGAACCGAACACAGCACGAAATAAATCTCTTTGCGGATCTGTAGGCATGCGTAAAGATCCGTATAGATTGTGCCAAACCTTAACGCATTTTTACGTAATGCGTAAAGAATAAGAGATCCGTAAAGGTAGCGTAAATATCCGTAATAAACGAACAATACAACACCAACAAGGCACTAAGAAATCACAAAAATAAGGCTGGCAAAAACCATTGCGTTTAGATTATCTTTGAATACCTCCCGTCTTCCCTTCCGCCCTCCCCCAAACCCTATCTTCCCCCTTCCATTCTTAATTACTCCCCTATTTTACTCTTAGTTGTTCATGTTCGTCTAAGCAAGGATATTCCAACGACGTTTACAGCGTCTTTTATTCTAATACTTACCCACAAAAGTTCATTTTTTTTATTTTGGATAGTTTACCTTTTTAGCGTGTATTTTTATTAGTACACTATTAGCCACKGTATCGATGATCCCCATATTGACCCCAAGTAGTGCAAAAAATGCTAGCATTAGTTGAAATATTGAGCAGACAGGAATAATGGCAAGGCATACTGCTATACAAGTCACACAGACTAGTAGAATGACACTACAATCGTACCTAAAGAAACAAAAATAATGTATAGTTAGAGTCATTTTCATCCGTCTGTGAAATAGGAATTGTACTGTTAGATACTATTACCCCATATTAGCTCCCAATAGTTTAACTTATGACATGCGACAAATAAATTAGGCAAACAAGGTGTTGATTTTGCCATTTGGTAGCCTACTACACCCTAATAGTTACTATTAAACACTGACTAGTAGTAATTGTTTCACAGACGGATGAAAATAACTCACTATCATTGGTGTCATCGTTATTGTTGTCGTCGTTGTCAATCGCCTCGTTGTTATTTCGTCGTTTTGTTGTCATTGTTGTTGTTGACAATGGTGCTGTTTCATTTGTGTTAATTCAATATATTGGTCACTATATTGATGTTAGTACTATTTAGTTTCTCAGTCCATTAATATTTGTGGTAAATCCCAGTCCTATAGCAATTAAAATCACTTTCTTCTAGCTCAAATACGGGGCCGCAATCCCACTTCCTATGTTACCCATTATCCTTATAGAGATGAGTAGAAGTCGCCCGGTGTCGTTAATTTACTTTCAACATAGTTAACTATGTATTCAACCGAGACATAAGAGGAGGTATACAACAACAATGTTTGCGGTCTTCTATGAAATCTCGAATTGTTTATAATTTTTTCATCATTTTCCTATCATTATTCGGCGATCCGTATAATCGACTTTGTTATTTATACTGTACATTTCTACTTAAGAAGAATTCTAAGCTTCTCCGAAAGGACTTTTTGTCGAGGAACTCTGGATAGTTTATTAGCCATCTTTCTTGTTCGAGCTGATTACATCAATATTGACATGATTTATCTGTACAAAAGCTGAAAACGTCCAATGAAAAACAACAGTCTCAAATCTGATTATTACGATCAATTCGGAAACTCAGAATCCCGAACATAACTGCTTCAAATCAGGATTTTTATTTGATTTAAGCTTCTGTACCGCTAGGTGTAATTGAAAAATATTGTCTTTGATTGTTCGCCAACGCAAAAGACAAAAACCTTGCCTAATAAACGAGCTTGAGTTGGATTCTTGCATAGCTTTGCTTCGTTTCTTTCGCAGTATGGACCCAAAAACCACAATATTCGCCCTCGATTTTATCTCTTACTATTGCATAAGTAAATACTTTACGATAAAAATGAGAAAAAAAGATTACGACTAAGAATGGATCAAAGTWAAAAAGGTGTCTTCCATCGTTATCGCGATTTCTTCATTACTAAATAGAAAGCTTAAATTTTGCATTGTTTGTCCTCAAATAGCGACACATTGGAAGAAATCTGAGCTTGAGMATTATTCGMCCGACTAAAGATTTTTTGACATGTGTATAATTTTCATACCTATCGGCCATGATTCCTCCTATACTTGAACCAAACAGGGCACTTAGACCTTGCGAAAAGAAAACCCAACTTATGATATTCACAGGTCTTCCCGTCACACATCCCAGCTCAAGAAGAGTCGGTCCAATAACCGAAGCAGCCATTCCAAATGTAAGAAAAGCTCCGCAAAAACATATTGTTGCTCGATTTGTCCGTAGGAATTCGTCTTCATTTCTGTACGTCCTTGTTACCGGTTGTGATGGCGGATAAGGTTTGCCATTCTCTCGTTTGATAGTCGTCTCAAAAATACTTGGAACTTCTCCTTTAAAGAACTGGTCAAGCATTTTGAAACTTTATCTTTAAATTAAGTTTGGACGTCTTTACAAAATCGCGCGTAATATTCCATCTTCTTGAAGTTGAAGAAGATGTCAGCCGTTTTTAACGCCGATTATAACATGGTCTGACGTCATATACTTCTTGGCAGGCCGTACATTTCGTAGTGAAAGTCGGTTTGTACCGTCGGTTTCTGTGTTTGTCTTTCAATTTTCTTAAAATATTCAATGAATCCGTATCATGTGATTTAATATTAATGATTAGTGCTCAGAATCTTCAAATGAGAGACAATCTTGAAATTGAACTATTAAACATTAAAGACGTTTTTCTATCAAAGTTTTATTTCATTCAAGGTTTACGGCTTATATTTACTCGAATGTCGTTTTTTATATCCATAYACACAAAACATAAATAAAGTGCTYTGTGTTATGAGTTTTTTGATGTTRAACCTTTTCGAGARCAACGYTCAGAAAGCTTTGTTGCGAATAAGTATTGGATTGTTTTTCGTAACATCTGTCAATGATGACCAAAGCATCCAAACCCCAGTCTATATCCTTGATTATTTCCTGGATCAAATCCCATCGAATTAAAACAAAAATCATTCAGAAAAATCTCAACTAAGTTTTCTCATCAATCGACGAAAACAGCGCGATGTTTCACGCGTTTTCCTTTCTCGACGAAACTAAGGGTTGAGGTGATTAATAATTCATAGTGCTTTCTTCACTGAACCAGGGGCCGAAATGATTTTCAATGTATTCAATAAACTCACCATTCTTCGKYGGAAATGTTATGAATGCTCTGCACAATACACTTTATTATTTTCCAATAACAAATGTCGTGTTTTTTCAAAATAACAAATCTCTGACATGGAAAACATTCTCTTCAATCTGACTGTTTTCTCCGTGRTCTTGGTCTCAACGCCTTCTTTACGTGCAAGTACAGCTCAGCTAATTTTTAACTGTTAATACTCGTAGAAAGAATGAAGAAAAAAAACTTGAAAGAAAAGGAATAATAAGAAATTCATGAGTAAGAGCGTTTACTAAGGCGTTGATTCATTTACCTATCGAAATATACCTTTATTCATTTCATTACATTTCCTTTCTGTCATCTTTAAGATACAATTGTTATTACTTTACGATGAGAAAATTTCTATTTCACTAGCGCGCGCTTCGTGTGATAACCCTCTTTACCATAAAGGTCCGCGGAGTTCCGTTGAAACTAACTGCGTTAAGATTTTGGAATTATCTAAAGACACTTCGGAATAATTGGTAAACAAAAAAAAAAAAATCGAAGAAGAACAGAAAGAAAGGCGAAAGCGCTGCGATATAGTCAACSTCCCCGCGGTCCTGCATGAATTGAGGAAAAGAAACTGCCACACGTTAAACTGAATAAATCGATGCCCGTAGAAAAGGTTTTTATAGTCTCAAGTGTTTTCTWCTATGGATAAGGAGTTAGAGTACAGCATTTGCTCTTGATTTTTATCTGTAGGTGGAAGGTAATAGACAAAGTAGCGACGCGTAAACTGTTCTACCGCAACTACTCCCACAGACACCCACAATCATTCATCATATACCATACAGAGGTAGAAACGTAACACCATACCTAACGACGCAACGGTTTGTAGGTTTACTACAGGGAAAGTAATTGCTATAGCAACACCTCCACACACCCACGCCAATTYGTTTTGTGTCATGCCGAGGTAGAAACGTAAAAGCATTACGTAACGGTTTACGTAAGTTAAAGTATTACTACTGCAACATCCATAGACACCCTGTATCATACCGTGGTGGAAACGTAGCAAACGCAATGACATAGTGTAATGTACAATATTACGGTTTACGTAAGCGGTTTACTTTGAATTATGGCAATTAAAGAGATTACATTCCCTAAGCTTACAGATATGCATATTAAAAACGCACGTACCGCAACCCATCACATAGGACACAACAATAGTTTTTGCTACAGGAAACTGCGTTTTTCGACGCGTTAAACAAAACTGACTCCTGCAATGCGTGACGCACGTATGGACACAACGTATTATATATACATCACTGCGTAAATAGCATCACCTGTCAAGTTATTTATCGTAATTGGTAGCGGTTTAGTAAAAGACAGGATATAAAAACTGACTATTTTAATAACGGTGCTTTGACCGGCATTTTCACAAGAATTCATTGATACACCACGTCATAACAATTACAAAATTTTACTCAAACCAGTTGATTATTTTACACTGATTTCAATTCTGCTATTTAGCTATTATATTGGTTTTATTCAGTTGTGCAATACCAATCATCCTAGAGGATTTAACTATACAATATTTATAGTTGC